AAAAAGCACTTATGGGTAAATCAAGTCGAAAGAAATAAATATATAATTTCACTCTTTATGTTAATGCTTTTATTGTTCGGCTAACTTTTTACATCACTTTCAATGAAGAAAACTGTAAGGTAATTGCTTATACAGTATATAACACCTGAAAAATGCAGAAAACTGTGGGATATGTAGTATCATCTCATTTGTGTCATCACTAGCAAAGTCCTTTATGCATGTCATATTAAAATTTCAGTTCTTAATGTAAACAAATTGATTCAATATCTGTGGCACTGCTACTGTTCAGTATCTCTAATTAATTAACAGTACTTTATCTACCTGCATAGTAGATTTCCTATGCAAGACAAAAGGGGCAAACCTTCAGACTGCAGTAACTTCATCTATCAGATAGACAGATACATCATTTTCTCTGAACCTGACAGCAAGGTTTGGATGACTGAAGCCCCTGAGGACTGTGCTCTCCTGTACCCAGAACTCCAGAGCATCTAGGTCGTTCATTACAGTAACTCCAGTAAGAGAGTCTAGCTTCTCTTATAAACTCCAAAGACAACTGCTCTGCATTCACATGTATCTGAACTTGCAGCTTAAAAATTCTGTAATTAATAAGGGTATACATTTTATTCTGTATTTGTTTATTTAAACTTTAGATTTTCTACATGATTAGGAATATTTTATTAATATATCTTATTTTCAGGCCCTAGAATTTTACTGTGTAAGCTTGTTTGTAGAGCAGATGACAGTATAATACAATAAGGAATACCATGAAAGATAATAAACACAGTCACTTTACTCCATTAACAACTGATTATAGTTACTGTGTAAAGTTGTTTCATCTTGCAAACAGCTACAAAAGCATTGACACCACTGGAGATTTCTCCTATGTTTTTGAATTTTCTATTTAGTTTGATTTAGAAATATATGTATAGAGTATGAAGAAATCATTAATATTACAAGGCATATTTGCATTTAAAAAATCTAGCCCAAAAGACATTTTAATAGGTAATGTATGTACTGTAAATATTAGAAGATACTGGAATATTGTCACCATTGATATTGGCAAGAGGTAAAATGATGTCACTAAACAAGGGAAATGTTACTTACTGTATGTTTTGTACCTTATCCAGACCACACTTTCCAAATATGCATTATAATGAAGCAGGATGACACTGTCACGATTATAGTCCCCACTCCTTAAGGGTGCTCCAGCCCTTTCACTAAAGACTTTATTCTGTGCACCTGTTTCCCATTCCCAGCCCACCTTAAAAGCCAGGCGCTGACGCTCATCTGGGCTCTGCACCTGATTTCCATGCGAGTTAAATTAGGTAAATCTTGAGTTTACCTAATTTAATACCTGCATTGCATCACAATTAATCTTAGGAACTGATGGGTTAGTGGTTATTTCTAAATAACTACTACTAGATTGTGGCTTTCCAGTAACACAGTTCAAGAGTCTAGCCTTTTCTAGCCTATTTTAAAGCATCAAGAGAAACATTCTCTTATTTCTGAAATATTAATACTGTACAAAAACCTATCTAAACAATATTTGCTTCATTGCATCACCATTACATCACCTCTATTTATAAAATGTTTATCATCCAAGTTTACTAGGAATTTGAATAGATTATTGTGTTTTACAATGAAATGTATGCATATAAAATGGAGGAGATAATTAATTTACACCACAAAAAAATCAGTTGACTTATTAAATCTGCTTTTAAAAAATAGTTTTGCCATCTCAATGAAATCCAATAATATATAAAGGATGGATTACAGAAACAGAAAAAATGGTCCAGATTACTCATTCATGATCAAATGGAAATAAATCTCTGTGTTCACTCAATTATGTATTTAGGGTTTTTCACTCCCATACATATTACACACCTCTGTAACTTTCTTCACTTTTGTGATAAATGTTATTTCCTCTCTAATGTGTGATTTATATATAGTATAGTTCTTTCCTTTAATTATACTTTTATTTGTATTACTACATTTCTTCACGTTCTAGGTCAGTTATTTTGCTACTTGCTCTTGCCTGAGCAACAGAAAAGAGTTCCCTTCATTCTTCAGGACAATTCCAAGTGATGCCTTTCAAGTCAAAGCCATGGTTCAAAT